TAATGTATCTGTAAATGCCAGAAAAAAAAAGGCAAAGCAAATCTACTTAGATTTCCATATAAACTGGCAAGCAATATCGCTTTGTTAGCTTGTATCTCATCCTAGAGCTACCATACTAACAAAAAAGTGAAATTGCAGCAAAACAGGACACATTAACAATAATTGCAGGTATTCACAGAAAAAATCTCTGGATAAACCAATAGCAATGGTTGATGATCCACATATTATAAACAATCAACAATAGAAATCTATAAACCAGGCAGTCCACTACTAAGCTTTATATCATCTTCAACAACCTCTACATATAGAAAATAAGAGTGATCGTAAGGTATATATACTATCTTAGCTACAATACTCAAGTTTCATGTCCCCACACAATGCAGTCTTAAACCAGGAGAAGGAAAACCTACCTCGAGGAATGGATTCCAGTGACGGCAGTTACTCAGATCAAGATGAAGCTTATCCTTTGTGTGTCTGCAAACGCAAAGGTTTTTCAAGTCTCAGACAATGAACAAAAGGCAGCAAAGAATTGTTGGTCGATAATTGAGTTACTAATTCTGTTAAGGTTTCATGTATTAAGTCATGATTCGTATTAAGGTAGTTTTTTGTCAAGAGCCACAAGTAGGAAGAGACACAAACAATTAGTAGTGTCTGTTTGTTTTCTATATAAATCAATTTTGTCGTGATGTACATACCAAGTTTCAGTTAATTAAAAGTTTCTATTTCGTTCGTCTTCTTTAAAAGTGAAGAGATAATTCTTTATCTCTTACTCTGTTTCTTCATTCTCTCAATATTTTAACAAGAATGACAAAAGAATACGTGAAGAGACAAACCTCAGCATTGTCTGAATTAAGGAAGACTGATCAACTGATGGGTCCATGCCATCTGTGGGATCCCAGGAACCACCAATCGCCATGAAAGAATGATCTTTTTTAAGAACAGCGAATTTTATTATGTTGCATATATGAGGTATACGGTCCTCAAACAATTTATCTGAAGAAAGATCTTCCAGAGCAGTCCTGCTCAGCCCGCTCATCAAAACCATCTGAACAGTAGAGAAAACCCACAACACATGAACAATTCTTCAATATACTCAGAAACAATAGCAGCAATGATACATCGTCCAAACATGAATATATTAAGAAGATAACAACTAGCACTGACATAATTTAAGAGGCAATCTTTATCAATGAGAAAGAAAAAAACAGCCAACCTTGGCATTCCAAACAGTTTTTCCTCCAGTTTTCAAAGCTAAAGGCTTTGTGGAAGTACTTTTCACATCAGCTCCACCATCTTCAATGTAATCATGCTCAAAACTGCCGTCGTCAACAAAAAATGGTTAGGTTTACAAACACATATAACCAGATAGTATAACGAAAGTGAATCCACAAAACTTGAACAATGTGTTTAAGGGAAACAAAACCTCCAGAACAGATCTATTTAAACCACTTAAGAAGGGTTACAATCCTAACTCCTAAGACTGACAAAAATGTAAATAAGAAGCAGAATAATTCACCTCACAGCAGTATGCATAGAAAGTGTAAGCTTCTGTTTCGGCCAGTTCACAACAACCTGAAACATATAATACATTTGAGGTTAACAATCATTTAGAACTCCACTAAGGATTGGATAATAATTGGGAGATAGAAAAACAGAAACCTTCGAAAACTCAGAAGGCACAAAAAGCCTGGGATATCTTTTATCTAATGTCAAGTAATCCCTCTCCATGTCAACCAATCGCGAAGATAAAACCTGCACATAAGTCACCCAATAATTAAATAAAGAATAATGCACACTGCGCTTAAGCACTGCATCACACATGGAGAGGGTAAGGTAACTCTGCCCCTCCCATATCTGTCACCATCAATCTTATTAATGGGAAACATAACAAAAAGTCCTTGATTTGAGAAAGTGATAAGCATCAAGTGTCTCATCCTTGTGAACATTTCCACATTTAGTTCAATACGAAGTCCATAAGACAAAAACTAGCAATCAGGTAAATTAACCGGAGACCACAAGAAACGGAAGCCAAATATCAGGTTGCAAAATTGCCCTCCAAATGATGAAAAAAAAAAAAAAAAATTGCCCTCCAAAAAACTATCAAACTCAGTGTAACATGGATAGAGCAACCTGATATATGTCACACTAATGTCAAAAGCAGGTAAAATAATACCCAGAGGTGGCAAGAAGTCAGAAGCTTGGACAAATAAAACCCACAACCAGGAATGGCCAAGTAAATTCGCCACAAAAAGAAAGAGAAAGTATAACAACCCCAAAGTACAGGAAGATATCCCATGGAGAGGAAAGAAATGAGAAAGCTGAAAGGATTATCTTGATAGATGGCAAGGCTGATATAGTAATCGAGGAGGGACCAAGAGATGTCCAAGTCAATCAATAACAAAACAACGAGAATGCAGGAATGGAAAGGAAGATGAGGTAACCCTGAGGAGTAGGCAAAAACACACTGAAAGAGGAATCTCTTGGAACACTTATTACCTTGCAGACATAATCTCTCCTTATTGGCTTAATCGGTGAAGAACGCCTTCAGGTATAACAGAAATAAGGTTAGTGCCTGGTGCAGCAACATAAAATGCCCTGTATTCCAGATGAAGAACGTGACAAAGATCAAAAATAAAACCTAATTGCTGCTTCACGATGGTGTGCATCCCGCCGCAAAGAGGAACTACGTGCATCCCTAGAAATAGATTTGGGCACTGGAGTCCGCTCCTTTGTGTCCCTGGACGTAGCTCTTGCTGTTGGAGTCCGATCTCGTTTTATTTCGAGAGCACGTTTTCGCTCACGTTCTCTTTCTCCTTCTCTTTCCTTCTCCCGTCGCTCCAATATGCGTTCCCTTTCCCGGTCCCTAGCTCTTTGCCTTTCTCGTTCCCTCTGGCGATCTCGTTCTCTTTCATGTTCGCGCTCCCTCTCTCGCTCTCGCTCCTTATCTCTGGCGCGTAAATCCTCACGACGACGCTCTTCTTCCCTTAGATCAAACTCCCTGAGATAACTTGCCCGGTCATCTTTCCGGAGATCATCAACACGAGGACCAGCGCCAACACCACGAGGCAGCATGCCACCAGGGTAGTCCAAGTCGAGAGACGCTGCACTATGGATCCCTTTCCCAGTGCCATAATCCCTGCCTGGAGGTAAGCTAACACCATAACCAGGATTTGAAGAACTCTCCGGATAAATATAGTCATCTAAATTTCGCCGAGGAACAGCTCCTAATAACGATGGGGTATGTTGGGTGGCATAAGAAGATGTGTTGCGTACTGATAAACCGTGAGGATCAGACTCAAGCCTTCCTCCATAATGCATTGCTTCTTGGTCAGAATGGCGCACAGTAGAACTTCGTTCTGTAAGATAATCGGCTTGTCTGCCAGAAATGTATGCTACTCAGTGCAATAAGATATAAATTTTGTTCGAACGTTATTGAAAGTTTCGACAAGAAGGTACAGTAGCTTTATAACAAAGGCCTTGGGAGAACAGATCTGAAAACAATACAGATAACAGACGTACCAAAAAATGACACAATTTTAACAAAAAATTATATGCTAGGAAGAAATCTGGCTTCCGTTACAATCATCGAAAAATACCTGTTGACACCTGCATCAACAGAAGAGGTATGGAGCGACTGCATTTTTAATAATTGTTCTCCTCGGAGGAGCGATGCTTGATCAATGCGATCATACAAGTCAGTCTGCCAAAATAATACAATAATGAGTATCAAGCCAATTTGTAACACCATTGAACAGAAAATTAACCAAATTCATAAGATTTTCTAATAGATGTGAGAGTTTGCGCACCTGACGAGTAAAATTAGATGAATCAGTATATCGGCTAGTTGGTTCATTTTGCAACTCCCTACCCATATAAGCGCTTGGCCGTTCACCATACTGCCGTCTATCAACAGGAATGTAACCAGAAAGCTTATCGGAATACAAATCATCCGCCTTTTGACCATAACCATGACTCGAAGGAGACAAATAGCTTCCAGATGCAAACTTTGGTGAATCAGGTAGAGTAGGAACATATCCAGAGCGGTTGTCCAAGACTGATGAACCTAAGCCATTGGTACTTAAAGGCTGAGAGCTGCTAAGAGAAGATGATCCATACACAGAGCCATACTGCGTTCCATAATGACTAGCAGCTGTGGATAAATGAGTTCTATATCCACCACCAATGTCAGTCTCTTGAGAAGCACCTGTAATTGAAGGATGGCGAGAACTCAAAGAAATCTGAGAGCCTCCTCCTTCTGCACCACTCACTGAACTTCCTGGATAACCAGATCCAAGCTACATAATAATAAGGTAACAATTAGCCAAAAATTCGACCCACTAAGCATAATTTGGTATCAATGAAATTGATGATCTTACATTCTGAGCATAACCAGATTGCGAACCGTATTGCTGTTGTCCGTAGCCAGTCCCTCTTGTAGAATACATATCTCTATGCATCTGATTTCAATTTGTAATTTTAGATAGTGAATCCTTTGAGAGATAATACAAAGAGCGATCAATAACAAAGATTTATCAAAAACCAGCATGCATCATCGGAAATTTTCACGACCCTAAACTAAAAAACCGCTGAAAAACGAAAGTCCAAGAAGATTGAAAATTGACGGGCTTACCTGCAAGAAGATTGAAAATTGGTTTCTTCTTTGCGTGTCACGTGTTGACAGAGAAGGAAGAGACTAAGCAATTGAGAGATTTAAAAGGAGAAAACAAAACCCTAGAAATCACAGATTGAGGAAGAAGAATGGTTTGAGGATTAGTTTGTTGTGAAGAAGAGAAAGTAAAGAAAAGATATGTTATGTTGACAAGGTTTAGAGGACACGCATGCTTATCTCTTAATGGGCTTAGATTTTATGCTATATCTTAGCCTTTTTAAAGTTCATTATAGGCCCATAATTTGAAGGACTGGAAATTTTTTCTCTAAGCTTACCAAAAATATAACGTCAAGATCCATGCTTTGATTAAATTAACACATGTGGATCAATCGGCATTAAGGTCAGTGGCATGCTAATTTAATCAAAGCATGTGTTGATGATATCTTAAACGAATTACTTCTCTCGTTTGACTTCTTCTTACTTCTCAAGACAAATGGATTTTCAGGAATGTAGAGTGTAGTTGGTATGCTATAAGATGCGTTAAACAGATATTAGGCAGATCTTATTGCTGATTATGTTACAAGTAGAGCCTAGAGGATTCATTTTACTCCCTTCTTTTGCACGAAACGATGAAACCAATATGAACACTCTCAAGCTTCTTCTCCAGGGCAGCAATATCTTGAGAGTTCAACCAGGGTTATTGCTTCCTTCAAGTTACCTTTATCACCAACTACAAATTTCCTCGGTTAAAAAGATTACTCTTCTTCATGTTCTGACAGAATTTTCGCAACTTTTTCTGCAGCTTGTTGATCACTCAGTTTTATGGGATGTCACTTCTTTGTGATTTAGCTTTGGTGCTTGGTTTGCTTCCTCAACCAACTTCTTTTGATGCTTTTCAAGCAAACTAATTTCTTGAACTAGCGCTGTTTGATCCGCTGAAGTTAAAAACTAACTGCCTCACATCACATTATCCTTTATCCTAAGCTGTCCTGCAGCTTTTCGGAACAGATTTGCTTGGAATGGACTTGCCACTTGAGAAAAAGGTTCACACTCACTTAACCCCTGAAATCAATTCATATAGGATAAGGTTGAAGTTCTCCCAGAAAATTGTGGTATCCCATATTAGAATACTATCACCATCAAATGCATAAAAAGTATCTTAACAAGTGATAGAAAGTATGACCTTCACAAATGCCAATTAGATGCTGTAAATGTTGCTTGCTTTCTACCACTTCCTCACCAGATTTTCCACAACGGCACAATGGTTCCTTTCTGCAAAATAGACAACATTCTCAAAGTTGCCGAGATAGTGTATCTCTATTCCAGCAATTTGCTTAGTGCTTCCGACCCTTTAAATACCTCTAGATCACCTACCAGTCCAAGGGGCCCAGTATCACGATTTAAAAGGTCAACCACAGTCTCGTTATAGACGAAGCTCATTTCTTGAGTCTGCATAGATTTTACAAGATTCATGGGTATAGAAGGAGAACACATATCACCTCTTAACAAAAACACAGAAATAGGGACCTTCAATTTGGTCAACTTTTCTTATATGCTCGTCATATATCTCTTCACTTTCCTTACTTACATCTGTTCTCAACTGCATAACCCTGCAACTAAACATCAGTCTCCTCCTCCTCATTCCGGCCTTGCGAGAAAACTCCAACATCTTCTTTTGCTTTAGTTCACTCTGTTTACAGGTACCGTAGCAGATCTGCAACCTGAAATGATAGAAGTATATACCAAAACAAAAGGTTGCTCTAAACACCTAAAATAAAGTTACAGTTTGGAGTTCTGGACTATGGACTATGGCACAATGTTATTGCGTCTTTACCAACTCTTTTTTCCCTACCCACTGAATAGTATAGACGCATAATCAACATGATTCTGAAAATGAAAACCAAACTTCTTTTTGTATGATCTGAAACAACAACAAGACGGACACAGCAGCTTTAAGATACCCAAAAGATCACATACAACTTCAATATATTTCATTATTTTGTATATACTATTATGATACTTTGTACTTAAACAAAAGCATATATTCTATCAGGTACAGAAGATGTACACAAGGGGGTCTTATGCGTCCTACTTACAAGCATGCAGATCCGAAGCTCTTCTTCTGTCCTCATTGTTTATACTTTCGCCTATTCTTTTTTTATTCTTCTGTGCATAGTAAATCAGTTTCACTCTGCAAATCTCAGAAAGGGCATGAGCACAACATGTCGCTTCATATTGTTTGCCTTCTTCTTCTTAATTATATTTCAGCATCTTGGTTTCAGGAGAAGGTTTCGGATAAAGAATGAGTGCCAACGCCAAAGAGACCATAAGACCAACCACTCCACTAAAAGGCTGTAAAGGGCGGCTCCCTGCAATCCAAACCGGGGAACTTGGGTTGTAGGTGAGGAATCCACCTGACTGTAGTATAAAGCTTGTTGCTATGATTCCTGCCCGCAACCCAATTGGAACAATTAGATTTCCTTGGCTTCTTTCACGAGCCCCAGCAAGCGCCAATGACAGAAGCCATAACCCTGGAATTGATCTCAGGGATCTGGAGAATTCGACAAGAAACTGAAAACAATTAGTATTTAATCTCAAAAGAGTTAAGCTCACGCTATTGTACTTTCCATGAACAATAGTTGTGTATAACTACAATATGACATACACATATACCCAGTTCTTAACAATAAAATATTTAACAAAGATATATACCTTTGGAACAAGGCAAATATGAGTCCTGTAATGATAATGCTTTGATGGTAGCCCAGATCTATCGCAATCTCGGCAGGCATCCATGATCTGAAGAGCAACTCTTCCACAAGCACAACAAATGTCGCAGCTGTAAATCCTCTAATTATCAGCAGAAGAAATTGCCCAAATCCCTTAAGACACTTCATGGCATCAAAAGGATGTGGAAAATATGGCGGTCGAGAAAAAATCGCAGCTCCTGATATTGCATTTATGAACTGTATTAGTAGAACGACTGTGATGCCCCCTGCAAAAGCCTTTAAAAACTCTTGAATCTGCAAGGAATGAACTTACAATATCATTTCTACTGTCTTAATAGCATGAATGTATGGAAGTGAAGAGAATAAGAACATGTGAAGTTAAGGGAAAAGGGAAATCACAACTATGCCATATCTTGTTGCTGTTTGAAAAAAGTCCACCAAGATCTTAGTTGAAGCAAACTGGCATTTGTATTATTTCCTTATTTTCTTATTTATGAGGGAAACTAATGATAATGCGCCGCGGGACCACGGTTATAAGGTTAGTCTAGTGGCTAATGAAGTATTAATGGCCAAGAAGTTTTCTTCAGCAATGCAACGAAAACCTAACTATTCTAATCTCAGTGTTACATTTAAGGTTTTACTAAGGTTTTACCTTTTCTTTGTTTGATGCCTTAAAATCAAGCCCATATTGCTTGAATGGGTTTTCATACTTCCGTACTCTTTTTCCCCACAGCATAACAAGAATGAATACAGCAACATAGAGACCAACTACACTAGCTAGTTCCGCCACTCTAGAAGGATTACTTGTGGACCAGCTCTGGAGAAGTGTTGGAAGCAATGGAATCACAACCGGTGACCATAACACGAGCACCATGCCAATAAAGCCCACAGCCCTAATAAACAAGAAAAAAGTAATGATACATACGAATCATTAGGAACAGCTAGTATGAAGAAGAATCAAAGGACCCTACTTATGATACTAAAATCACAAGAGTTGGAATCTTTAACATGAATGTTATCAGAAGAGAATAATAACAGTTTTAAAACGAGGAATTTACTAGCAAACATGTACTGAAAAATATAGCATATTAAGAATGGGGAATTTTTACTCGCAAACATGTAGTGAAGAATAGAACGTTAGTTCTCCAGTTTGTCTTTAAGTTAAGGAAATAGTTAACACACATCCATAGTTTAGCATTCATTTCATTTAGCCAAGTAAACCACATAAATTAATTGATTACTAAACCACATAAATTAATTTAGTAATACAAATATAAGCATCAACGTAAAATGTTCATAAGAGACTACTTCAAATCAATCACATAAGTTCAACGATATTGGAAAGAATCAACAAAAATGCTTAGAGAGGAAGCAGCTTACCTCTTGAGCAAGGGCCATTCATCCATACGCAAAAACTGGATTAGCTTATCAGTTAAACTCATAGCACCACGAAGGCCACCCCAAAGCAGAGCAAGTTTTCCAACTAACCTCAATATGCCACCCCTCTGACCCAAATCTGCCAACATTGCCACAATCCTGTTCACATGAAAACCAAGGGATTTCAGATTAAAAAGAATCTTAGGGCACTGATATATAAGAATTGACTTATTTACTTTTAATACCTATCCTGATCCACTTCACCAGTTTCCTTTGTTGGAACAGCAGGACCCGCTATGGACATGGCTTTCTCAGCAAAACTTGCCACTATACTGTTCTGATCAAGTTTTCCAGATTCTTTATGTTGACTAACTTTCTCCGATGATTTTGACATGATGCCGCCTTTTTGTGGATCCTGCACAGGAGGCACTGATTAGAAAGAACGAACAAATTTGTATGATCTTTTGATTATATATTCATCTGAATGCTAATGTTAAACAGTACCTCGTGTTGAACCAGCATAGCAGATGCTCCCAAAGCAGCTGTTACAGCACCAACCATGACACCCTCATTGTTAAATTTTTTCAGGCCAGATTCCACCATTTCTCCAATGCTCGAGTTGTTTTGTTCGGTCTCTTGGCTAATCTTGTCTGGCACAACACTCGTCTTTACATCATTGTTCTCGTACTTTTGTGTTCTACCCGGGACAATATCTCTCTTAGCATTGCTGGTTGTTGTAGATACATCGAAATATTTTCTCAAAGCAGCTAAAACAGAGCCAACAACAACACCAATAGGCAGTACTTGTCTGAGAAAATGCGCCTCCTGGACAGCAGATGCAATTGCCCTAATGATAGCGTCCCCATGAAGTTTACCTACTTTTCCAGCAGGGCCATCGGAAGTTTTGCTGTTCCTTTTGAAAGTCCAAGTAGGCTCTTCATATACAACAGCATAAGAAAATGTCTTTGCCACCATTTTTATATCTCGACTGAGTTGAGACTCAATTTGCCTCATGCCAGCTGAACCCATCCGGCGTTGAACTTCAACATTCAAAGAGTCTGATACAATAACTTTAATGAGGTTCTCTAGTTCCTCACATCCTTCGTCTAATTTGTGAGGACCATCATTTTGATTGTCTGCTGCATCATGCATTTCAGAGAGCTCTAACTCTTTTTCATGGTCCAATATCACATATGAAGGCTCAATGATGTTCTTTTCATTACCTACACTAAGGGAATGAACCTGAACATTTTCGTGCGTATCTCTGCTGGCTGCTGCATTGTCAGCAACGTTACCCAAGTATTCTGGTTGTTGATCTAGTAGCTTCCATTTACCTTCCTCTGGATAATAGTTATCACCCAAGTGTTCTGGTTGTTGATCAAGGAGTTTCCATTTACCTTCCTCTGGATAATAGTCAAGCATGAGAGCAGTGGTTGTATTTAAGTCTAACTGTTTTGCAACCTTTTCTTTTGAAAGTTCCTCCCCAAGGTATCCATCATTAGAAGATTTTTCGACAGAATCTGTAATTCTTTCAGGCAGAATCTTCGGTGAATGCTTACCAATCACATCATCTCTGCCCAAAGGTTTTTCAGTCATTACCCCAGTTACCTTTTCACTGTCAGAACATTTTTCAGTTTCATTCACACTGCATGCAGGATCTTGAGATTTTTCAGAGGGCATAAGGCTTTCAGTTTCTCTCTTGGAGGGAATTTCCTCTTCAGATAAGGACAATACCTCATTCGTGACAGTCTTCTCATCCTTGAGATTCTTCTCATCACTTACCTCACTTCCTTCTTTTTTTTCTTCATCCAGCTGAGTAATCATGTTTTCAAGCACACCAAAAACACTATTGACAGCTACCTGAGTTGAATCATCCATCCCCGTCAATGCCTCAAATGCATGGGAAACATTAAATTTAGGCTGATTTGCTTCCTGAATTGCTGGCTTAGTTTGGTCTGATACAGGCTGGATAACTTTGGTTTCTTTGCTCTGATCATTACCTTCGTCTTTCTCTACAGGCTGTGAAGCAGAAGATTTTCCAGCATCTCCTTCATTGTCGGTAGATGTCACCTTGTTTTGATCTGTGGCAGACTGTTTTGCATTCTCATCATTTTTATTAGTTTCCTCCTTTTTTTGTTGCTGAGATAGTACAGTACCTTGGTCCACTTTGTCCCCATCACTAGTTATATCGTCTGCACCAACTGGCTGTGGGTTGGTACTATCATTTTTTGCATCTGAAGCCTTCTCCGAAGCATCAGCTACACTGGATTTTTCACTGGCAATTGGTGCTCCTTTCTCATCGTTTTTATTAGTTTCTACCTGTCTTTGATGCGTAGCTACTCCAGAACCTTGGTCCACTTTTTCATCACTATTAGTGACATCCTCTGCGCCAACAGACCCCTGGTTGGCAATATCACTTTTTGCTTCGGAAGCCATCTCAGAATCATCAGCTGCACTGGTCTTTTCATTGGTATGTGACTCGTAATTTCCAAGACTATCATCTTGATCACTGTCAACGGGTTGGGACTTTCCAGAATCACCGTTTTTCTGGGAAACCTTGGAAGGGGAATGCTCCAGTTCTATTCCACCTGGAGAATTATCCGAGCCACTAACAGTTTCATCTGAGCCACTCACCAAACCATCGCTCTTATCTATCGGATCAGGAGAATGAGAATCTTTTTGATCTATGGCACTTGATGGTTCTTTCCTTGCTTCCTCCGCTTTCTTCAATCCTGGTGCTATACTAGGAAGCTTAAGCTTTTCAAGATTTAATTTAGTGCCACCTGACTGCAAGATCCCAGTTACAGCTGTTGTAAGCTTCTCCCGAACTTCTTCTGGCACGGCATCTTGCAGTGCTGTTAGAACTGTCTCTCCTCGACCAACAGCATCCATAACCTAAACATTTACTGAATAATTGTCAAGCAATTGTTAATGCAGCGACCACAGTAAAACTTGTAAGAATTATTTTTACTTTTGATATGTTGGGTGTTACCTTTTTCTTTTCTTCAGCTTTTAGGGTGCCAGGCATGGTTACATCTAGCATGTTCACAACCACTTCTGCAGTCTGCAACACCTGACCTCTATCACTTTCTTCTACATTGGACTCATTATCTTCGATTGATTCAACTTCAACAAGACTGCTTGTTGAAACTCTACTATTTTCTGTTTCATCAGCTCCATAATCGCCTTTGACATTCTTTTCTAAATCTATTCCAGACGACAAATTCGAGTTTGGGCTGATGTCACTGTCTTCAAGTGTTTCCCTGAAAGGATCAACATGGTAACCATTCACCATCTTTTCGTCGGCTGGCTGTACGAGCTTCTTGGCACCGATACTTTTTTCAGGTGCTTTGGCTTCCGAAAAAACTAATCCCTTTGAAGGGTTAACAGTAATATCCACGTCTTTCAAAAGTGGATGACGACCTTTCAGAAGCCCAAGTTCTACAGCAGTCAACCACTGCATGGCCGACATAGGAAAATCAATCTCTCAAACATAAAAAAAGAACGTAACAGGACAGTCAACTAAGAATTAAATAAAATAAAACATTTATCATGTAAGAGAGAAGGACTTGCATATTATTTGCATTTTAACCAGTAAACTAACCAGAAGTTTATACTAACGACTAAGGTAGATAAATCATCAGTTACTAACAACATGATCGTAATAATGAGCATCTAGGATATATAGAGTATCATGCCTGCCTTTTATCTGTTCAGTAGTGACCGAAGAAAAATAATCAAAATTGTACAAGATGGTGTATCTACAGGAAAAGTATTATGTAATAACCACGAGTCTTAAATTATGAAGAGAACCTAAGTTCCACCAAGATGGATTGACTAATACTCACTGGTTCCAATAGATAAATTTTCAAGTATAATTCATACGATTTGTGAGCTTGTGTGACTATGCGTGTGAGAAAGAGAGAAATATAGGGAGAGAGGTTGCCTCAATCGCAAGGTCCTGGCACCAAGACACAGCCACTGTACGTTCATCGATCAGATTTGGTGAAGAAGAGCACATAAGCAGGCTTGTAAATGGATTTTCAGCTATTGAACTTCGTGGTATTGTATACGGTGGTACTACATCGTCATTCTGACAAATACAAGCAACTTCGAGAGTCAAAATATGTACAACACTGTTCACAAAAGTCATTCAAGAGACCAGTATTAGACTATCTAAATAATTACATGCAAATTGAAATCTGATTTAAGTTTACAAATGTAACTTATGAGTACTGTGTCAAAGGAGACAAGCGGATATTGTTGCCTTTTAAAGAAACATATAAGCATGTTTATCCGAGGGATCAAAATCCTATTTTGTATCAGTGCCAACATCACCCTAAAATAATGATATCACAGCAGCTAGTAACTCATTCAACATTATTCTCAGTTTAATTCATGATCCGTTCAGCATAATAACCTTCTTTTGAGTCATAAAATATCCAATAGTTCTATTATTGAATAACTGTCTGTATGTCCTAAGCAAAAGTAACCCCTTGCAATGAATTCCTTAAGTAAATTAAATATACCTCTAAATATGAAATCTTTAGAATAATGATACCAGAAAATATCAATCAGGTCGTATAGAGAGGTGTAACCTTAAACATAGCTACATAGCCAGAATATTCACCTGTATAAAGAGGACAGGAACTTTTACTTCCCCGATCACATCTCTTGTGGCACAACTGGAATAGAAATCTTCTATACTCTCGCAACCATATGTCACCATGGACAAGGCTTTATCAAATTCGCGAACTGATTTTGAAGACAAAGCCTTTCCAACATCAAAGGCTTTTGTTCTGCCTTGAAAAAGCTCCTAGAAAGTGTATCCATATGCATATCCCAGTCAATATAAGAAGAACTCACTCTAAATGAGTTGATAAATCATTATCGTTGCGTTTTATAAGCAATAACCCAACCTTGTTTGCCAGCAGTATCTCTACTAATCCACTTGTAAGCTGTTGATCCAAACTAGTAGAATACGGAGATGTTCGTGTGATCTCCGCAAGGTCAAAGGGATTATCAATGCAAACAGCAGCTGTAAGAGGTGTTCTTTCCCCAGCCTCTGCCAGGTATTTTGTCAGCATATTTGCACCATATCCTCGGCCAACAGCCGTAAGAGTTGTCCATGGCCTTGTTTTGGTTAAGAATCGCAAAGCTGTGGATATATCATCACTGTCACCAGCTGTAAATAACCTACAGTGACAAAAATGTTTGTGATCAATATAGATTCAAGATAAGGAACCGTTAAGAGAGTCTAGTGTTAGCTCACCGAGGTGTAGTGAGAGGCGAACCAGCACAACCTCTAGGATTCATGACCACAGGAAACAAGCCTCGCCTCAGAGCTTCGCATACAAACGATCGAACGCCTTCATCCATACTACCATCCGGCGTTCCCGGGATGAAAACCACCGTTGTATCCAGCCCACGCTCCTCCCTAATGTCCACATTAGCCGGCCAATCAAGCGAAAGAACGCCGCCGTCCTCGGTAGTGATACAAACCCTCTGATACTCCAACGGAGGAGTCTTCTCATCGGCAGCCGATACAATAATCTTGCCGGTATCCAAATTAAGGAAATGCCTCTCCGCTGTGAGGAGTCTATCGCTTAAACTCTTGTCAGAGTCATCATCAAAGGAGAGCAAAGAGCAACGAAGAAGAACAAATCTGTTAAACGGCGTAGGAGTAGTGAAAAGAATCCATTCCCCAACAACATCATCAACGATTGATCTTCTTCTTCTACTTGTATCACTAATCTCTAAAGATCTTCCAAATAACCTCGACGATAAAAAAACCGCTAAGCCTGAAGCGAGAAATGAAGCTAGGGAAGCATCGAGAGGACCGCTGCCATCAAACGGCGGAGGGAAAATTGACGAATTCACTAGATGTCTTTTAAAACGAGGTCCTCGCTTCCTGGTGTGAAACACGTAAGAGCTACGGCGGAGAATAAATGGAGACGCGGTGGTTGTTCTCGCCGGTGGGAATTGAAGAAAAATAGAAGAAGATGACGACGACGACGAGTACATGTTGAATTTCAAAAGTAGAAAGTATTCTGGAAAGGAGACATAAGAGAGGAACAATTTGTGAATCTTCCGAATTTGTTGAAGATAATAAAAGTTTGTTTGTGAAGAAGAATACACTTGATTCGAACATGGTAGAGTTTTATTTTTTTTGTTTTGAGTAAAAGAACGATGTTAAAAAGGACACGCACATTGTCAAATGCATAACTTTAAATGGGCTCATATTTTAGGCCCATTAGTGTAAGTGCTCTGTTTCTTTCTTTGACACAGAGAAGCCAATCTCTGGGAAATTAGTTGTGATGTGGAGCCAAAGCCAAATAAATGACCAAAGTAAAAACTCTGAGTCAAGATCATTAAAGCCATGGAATGACAACAGAGTTCCCAAAGAAGAACGACTTGGGATACATATTAAACTAGCAACGGTACAAGGGTTTAATCTCTTTAAAGCAACAACATTAGCAATGAGAAAGCCTAATTAAGCTAATAAGCTAGATGGAACAAACTGTACCAAAACAGACTTGGAAACTCACTCACTGTCACCGACTCTAAAACAGCTTTAGCACCAACTGCCTTCAGCTTCTCTACGAACTCCTCTCCTTCTTCTTTCGAAACTCCTGTTTTCAAAACCGTAGGAGCCTTCTCCACCAATTCTTTAGCTTCCCTAAGACCCACACCAGTGAAACTCCTTACTTCCTTAATGGTCCTGATTTTCACACATGGGTCGAAAGACTCCAGTTTAACCTCAAACACAGTCTTCTCCACTTTAGCTCCCTCATTGGCACCAAGTGCCTTCTCCACCAATTCCAAAACAGCTTTTACACCAAGTGCCTTCAACTTCGCTACGATCTCCTCTCCTTCTTCTTTGGATACTCCTGTTTTCACAACCGTGGGAGCCTTCTCCACCAATTCCTTAGCATCCTATAGACCCACACCAGTGATTCTCCTTACCTCCATAATGATCTTGATTTTCGCACATGCCTCGAAAGACTCCAGTTTAACCTCAAACACAGTCTTCTCCGCTTTGGCTCCCTCATTGGCACCACCACCACTTTGGCCGTCCCTCAGTACTCTCATTTTGTTTGATTTCTGATACGTGCTTGTTCCTTGGCTTTAGCTCTAGTAACCGGTGGTGAATAATCCAGCTTAGAACTAAGGAATCGATCGAATAGCTTAAGCTTAAAGAACACAGAGATTTTAAGCTAAGCTTCCTCCTAACCCAAGTCTCTTTCTAGAGATTATAGGTTAATTGTTGGAGGTTTTATTCTTTATTAATGGTCTTTATATATATAGACCTTGGTGTGTAACTAAGGTAAAAAAGAAAATCACAAACCCTAAACCTAATGTCAAAAACAAATACGTAATTGCTTTTAAATTAAAAAGAAAACACCAAAACTAATTAACTAAAACGTCCTAAGCCTACCCTAATCATCCTAACCATAGTCTTGTATCAAAAAAAAAAAAAAAAAATTACTTGAAGATTTTTCTCTACATTTTTATTGACTCATTACATATACGTTATATATTAAACACAAAACTTGCTCTCCAAGCAATAATTGGACTAGATGTCAGAAAAAAGAAGAAGCAACAAGTGTAGTGTAACATGCTTTCTTGTCTCGAAATTGCTCCCCAAGCAAAAATGTCACTTTCTTAACACAGATTATATGTATTTCGTTTTGAACAAGATTATAGCTTCTTTAACCTTTTTGGTACCTCTCGTTGTTCATAACTTTAACATCATCATCATCTACTATTCTTTGCCTCTCACTGTTCATATCCTTCCATGTCGTCTACAATAGTTGCTCATATTTTGAATACCATTCGAAATGATATATAACTTTAGCCTCCTATCGAATTTAACATAAAACACATCAAGAAAAGTCAAAGAAAACCTGTTGTAACTTATAGTAACTTACACGAGTCTTTGCCAAAAGAAAGTTTGAAAATCTAAAAAAAACAAAAAAGGGTTAGAAGGGACTGATTGATCATCATTGGAAACAAAATTGTTTTCCTTCTTGTTCCATATTTTAAAACACATTTATGTGTATATATTTCTCCTCTGCCCTTCTTTCTCGATTTTTCCTCATTCGTCATGAGCTTTATTACCCTCCTCACTAGTCTTTGATTCATCAGTCTTTGGTTCCTCTGTCTTTGATTCATCAAACGCCAACAACTGCAACAGCAACAGAAAAAGAAGAAGAAAACGATAAGCTCACTAACCATTAACATGTTAAGCAAACACAAGGTAACAGGAAGGTTCTTCTGCTCCAAAAACGTTTAAGAAATAGTGAAAACGTTTATATATACATGTATACGCAAATGCAAAATTGTGAAATATCGAAATCTGTAAGGAGGAGAAAACGAACCGGTTTGATGTCACCGTTCCAAATGCAGTGAGAAGCCAAGAACCCAATTACAGCTGGGACAATGTATAACAAAGCAGGCTGAAACAGAGACAAAACAAAAACCAAAACCCATCAGAGAAAATCCCAAAATAGGGTTCCAATAAATGGATGACAACAATTAAGACACAAAAACTGACCTGGGCTGCTTGAAACCAGTTCATGACTACAATCGTGAGGATAACACCAACAGCGTATCCGATAAATGCACTTGTGAAGTATTGTGGTTGTCTACGTCTTGACACATCGAATCTTAGAGCTAGTGCAACAAAAATTCCTAAAGGGAAACAAAAACTAATGCCTCATATTGATATAATATCCAAAAATATGATTCAAGAATGCATAACGATAAGTTGAATTTAGATAGTTATTGGATTAAGCATTAGAGAACATACCCGGAATGACAATGTCACCAAGACCAAGCATAGAATAGGGTCTTAGAGCATCACCCGTAGGGAATAAAAGCTGAAAGAAATATGGAACAATGAGATTACTGACAAATGTAACAAATCATATAATTTTGTTTGGTGTGTACTTTTGAGGCATTTTTACTAACCTTTATTGGAGCATCGAAGGATTTGGCGACACTAACCATAACTGGAGTAAAGAAAACCCAGAAGATATCATAGAAAAATAGTCCAGCCTGCAAGTCAAGCATAAACAAACACCAAATGATTGAGACATATTCAAACACTTGAATTTTATTTCATCTAAAAATCCAAACAAGTTTTCAAGAATAACATTCGAAAGATGCAGTTCTTACCAAAAGGATGGCACCAGTCTTGAATGATCCAAGAGAGAGCATCTCAATTCCCTGTTTTGGCCACACCATTAATTAGAAATAAAGACACACCCAACAACACTAATAACAGAGTTTATGTATTCCCATATTGTATACAATAAAGTGCAAGGGAAGTAACCTGAATGCAGAAGGAAAGGCCGAGAATATTGTTAGCTAGCCAATGTTTTTTCCACGCATACCACGCACAGAAGAAGGTTCCAGGGATTCCCGCAACAACTTGGGACTTTGTGAACTCTACCTCCAAAGCTGTTTATGAAAAAGGTGTTAGAAATAAAAGAAAACAATATTTGGCATGAAGCAAGCAAATCTCAACCAGAAGGATAAAACAATAACTGGATATAGTAAGAAAAGTAAAAACAGATTCGAAAACAGGACAAACACATATGAGCTTCAATGATCATTACATCTACCAAATTAGTATTCAAAGACTAACACTAAGCAAACAATGATAAACATATTCATAACATCACATCTAAATATAATGCCAAAAACGGCTACCAAAGAACACTGAAGGTAGATCTTAGTTACATACATTTGAAATAAGGAAAACGCCAGACAATAAGATTGTCATTCCAAGGATTTGGCAAAAATCTTCTGATGGCTGGTAACAATGTCGCCCTGTAAACACACATAATTATGTCATGCTTCGAGCACAGATACACAAAAGATAAGAACAGAAGCATGCTGATTTAGATTAGACATACGAAAGAGCGACAATCCCAAGAACAAAGAAGTAAGCTGTTAGAACAGCATTGACCAAATCCTTTGAGAGAAACTTGAACAATAAGAAAAGTGAGAGAAGCATAGCACTCCCAACCAATGGGAAACGCATGGCATGCTCTTTAGACATCGTCTCCTACACCATTTCAAACAAAACAAACATTTTAGATTGAATATGAAAAGTTGTTTCACTAATAAAAAAACAATCTGATTGCCTCTTTGTCTTACCGTTGGAGGAGTATCCTTGACCGAACGAAAGCAACCGACATAAACAGTGATACATGCTGTGAGAATAACATTCAAATTTGGATTTACTCTCACAACGAGTGGTGCCAATGTCAAACCTGTAACCAAAACCAAAACAAAACCACTCAATTTTGAATCTTTACGCCATAGTTAAAAACAATCAATCAGACCCACCAAGCCTAAACCCTAGAGAAACCAAACTGATCTAAAACGAAATCCAAAAGCAAACAAAAATTGAAATTCTAAGAACAAACCTAAAAACCGAAAAAGTTAACAACTTCATCACCTAAATCAAAAATCAGAAGAAACCCATAACACGAAACAATCACATGATCGTAAAAAACCTATCGAAATTGAAATTCATGAGACGAATTGTAACAATTATATGAGTGAAAGAGAGAAAAACCTGCGAGAGCGAGATTAGCGAATCTCTCACAATTCTTCATAATTGCTTCTTGGGTTTCGTTTTTACTCTGTACTCAGATGAATGTATAGAGAGAGAGAGGAGAGAGATCCAGTGGTGGGGTCAAAAGATAAAATTTCCACCAGATCTGTTAAAAACAAAAAAGGATGAAGAAGAAGAAGAAGAAGAAGAGAAGAGTTAAAGTCTTAAAGAAAGAAAATTAATATACTCGACGACTACGAAAGTTACGGGTCTGTGACCTAGTTATGTGACAGACTTATTTCATTGGTGACGTTCACGTGTTTATGACATTACGTACGCATTTTAATTGGTTGATTAATGACATTCACATCACCACATCACATATGTATATATTTGTTTCCTTCTATGGTTAGTCAATAAAATGGTAACCGATACTTTTCTACTTCAACGGATAACAAAATCAATGTCACAAAACACCTATTTAATTTATCGGAGATAATATACCGTATACAGATTTTAGTATTTTATTTTATTTTACTCAAGAAAGTATAGTAAACGGAAAGAAAAGATGGGAGCCGATTTTGTCTGACTGTTTTTGGTCCTTTTGGATAAAATACATGAAATTCAAACTATACTTTTAAATGCATCGTACATACCATTAGAACATTTGGCTACGAGTTAGAGATTCTAGTTCAAAACAATGCTTTGGAAGCACCAAATGATAAGGTTTTTTAATTATACTTGAGGGAGGGAAACTAAAGCAAAGTACGAGTACGAAAAGTTAAAAGAAACATTGTAATCTTTCATGAGGATTACGAAAGAAAAAAAATTATCATTCTTTTCAAACTTCCCGCATTTATAGATTCTTGAGGCACAAAATAAACCCAAATCCTCTTTTTCTTGGATTCCAAAAAACGCCCAAGTGTTTTTAAAAAGTATTCCAGAATCTATAAGTGTTTAAAACATAGAACGGTAACCTTTTAAGATGGTTTTGGTGATCAATAAACTCGGTTTCTTCTTGGGGACTTTAAGTTCTGCAAAAGAAGAAGAAAAGACATCATCAAAAAATGAATCTCTGTGCAACTTGAAAGTAATTTTGGTAACCAGAATCATACCGTTTGACTACCATAGTCTTCATTCCTAGCAATTTCCTCGGAACCATGAGGATGGTTCTCGCCTTTTCTATGCCTAGGCTTGCTTGAAGTCTCTATTGTTTGAGAAATATAAGGAAAGAAAGTTGGAAGCAAGACAAGACCACGATCCATGTCAAATACATTGGCTCTTAATCGCAGCATCACTTGCGTAAGAGCTTTGATTGCTGCATCAAGACTTCCTGTTATCTAAAACCACAAGATAAAGAAACATTGTTTAAGGGTCTCTTTAAAACACACAAAATCGAGAAAGTATCAGGCGATAAAGGGTCAAGATTTATTACTTGGACCATCTCCTCATTCTCACGAGCAATTCTTGGTACATCTTCGCCTTGAAAAATGCGGATGTTCGCTTTTGTGACACTCCTCATCTCGGATATAAGAGCTCCACCTTTTCCAATGAGGCACCCTACTTGAGAACTTGGAATAAGTACACGAGTAGAGATTGCAGAATCACTTGAATCTTTCCCCACTTTCTCACTGCATCGCGTTTGTAAGCGTAAGGCTGCATTCACCGTTGGGGATTGATCTTCGAAGAACTGATGTACATAAATTTGGTTCAACAGTTCACACATTGAAAAATGAGACTCTCATTCAGAAGAAAAAGTTTGCTTTACCTCCTTTGCTGATATGAAAATTATGCAATCATCATCTTCATCAGTTTCTGGGGTATGGACTTTGATGGTCGCACCAGATTCTTGCCTAGTCTGATTAATGAAACAGCCACCTTTTCCTATTACACCTCCAACATTTTCAGCTGGACATATGAAGCAGATAGAAAACACTCTTGCATCGGCAGCATCTCTTGGTGCAGAGTAATTTTTGTGAGAACTCGTTATTGCAGGACTCATTAGAATTCCACCAGGTTGATGCTGCAGGGTACTAGAAGAAGACAGAAAGTAGTTCTGAAATCGTGATGGATTATCATAAAGCAGAAAGGCAACTTGGTAAAGAGCTTCTCTAACAGCAGAAGGATCTCCAATTATCTGAAAATCAACCAACAGCAACATTCATAAGCTAAATCCGAAACAAAATCACACTAACTCAAATCTAGAAAATTTTCTAAAAAGACTTGTTGACTTACCTGAAGAAGCTCATCATGACTCAAAGCCAAAGCACAAATGGGAAGATTATCATTTATAACACGAATCTGAGCATTAGTGTCATTACGCAGTTTTTGAATAACTTGTCCACCTTTCCCAATAAGGCAACCAATTTGATCCGAAGGAACAAGCATCCTCACAGTAACTGTTTGTCTCTCACTATACTCATCACCGTTATCATAATCACCATCATTGTCAAATTCTTCAGCAACAATCATATCATGAACCTTGAAAAGAGCATCAAAAGCAGGACAAACAAAATCCTCATCATCTTCAATACGATTGGTCTCCTCGCTATTAGAATATATAGTAACAACACGCTCATCACAACCCGGTAAAGCCTCGTTTATCCTCATGTTTGCTTTCGTCTCAGACCTAATCTGCTTTGCAATTTCACCACCTCTCCCAATAATACTCCCTGCTTTCCTCACAGGACACAAGTAACGATACACAGTATCTTCTAATCCAGCACCATTATTATCTGTATCATCAGAAAAAAGCTTTTAGCTCTTATCAAATTAGAAAACTAAGTTACACAACTAAACAAGATCTCTTACCATAAATGTTCCTTGAATAAGCCATTTTAGCAACGGTTTGGTGAGACAAATACTCGAATCACAAAGCCAGAGGAAGCTGAAGAACATACGAACACACAAAATTAGGGTTTAAGTTAGGTTTCAAATAAGTAACAGAAACAAACTTTCATAACTCCTAAGACGACTTCGTTTCTCTATAGATAGATTTTAAGCTCTCATCAAGAAACCTAATCGACGACGATCAATACGAAAATCAGATTCTCACGCAACCGATCGATAAAACTTGATAGCTCTTGAACATTGCTAAGAAAACGGAAATCAAGAAACTCTCACCGGAGAAATAAGCAACCGATGATTGACTAATCAGTCCGTGGAAGCGTCGTCTCGCCGGAAAATGCAACGGCCTCTCTCCGTCTTTATGCTTCTGTGGTTTTTGGAGCGTGACAATCTTGTTAATAATACATGATGGTAAGTTTTTTTTAAAAAAATGTTTCTCTATTAATATATAGGGGATTAATCAAATGCACTTGGGAAACTTTAGATATGACCCTCTAATTCCGGTTACCAATCTCTACAATAATTATTTGAGAAGTAGAAACGCACCATATTGAAAGTTAGGGCATTGGAGGCCTGTGGTTAAAAGTTAGAATGATTTGTCCTAAACACCCTTAATGAATTGTTCTTCTCGAAATTTCTCCTTCTTCGTAATTAGGGGTATATAAGTCTAATCGTGTGTTGATCTCTATTATAATGTCCTAAACACCCTTAATTCGAAAATTTTTGTTCTTAGTTGTTAAGGGTATATAAGTCTAATCGTGTTTTGTGATGATTAGTCTTAATCACCCTTAATTTTTTTTATTTTATAGTATGATCGCTGGGGATATGGAGGTCATAATATCTCGACTTTAATGATTATGGAATCTTAGCTTAAATTTATTTGTTAATTTTTTGGATAATTCTATAATTTAGCAGTTAAAATTCGTTTTTGTTAGTTTTCTGATTTTGTTTCTAATTAAAAAGTAAAATTTCTTAAGATAATGATTGGTGTTTGCCCTAATCTTAAAGCTATATATATTGTTGATCGGCCAGAGGATTAGGTATTATTTTTCTGTGGCCATTAGATAGTTTTCACCGTTATGGTTTTTTTATATAGCTACTACGATTCTGATGAATCGAGTTGTTTGTCATGCAAATATTGTTTTTATGGACCTTTAAAGGTCGTGTGTATATTGTTTGTGTTGTTTGTTTTATTTTTTTGCATTATTCGATGATTTATTGTTTTGCTAATTTGTTGTTTTTGGTGTGTGTTTCAGTTTTGTATAACGTGGGAGGTTCCATCGACAAAGCTTTCTGACGAAGGTGGTGTTGACGAGCAAAGAGCGAGGTTTGGGGAGGTACTTCTATAGTTTTAATTTGTATATTTTTATATTTATTTACCCATATACATTTATGTGTTTCTTCCTGTTATCGTATATACTTTTATATGCGATTTTATTGCGTTTTATTTTTTAGTATTGATTTATAATTAAATTGTCAAATAGTTTTGAGTTTATGTACAAGGTTTGACATCTTATTGTTTGATTTTCATCTTACCGTGATTTTGAAGGTACTCGATGAACTCATATCTCGGTTTGTGTCGGTTTATTGGAAACAGGTATTTCTCTTATTTGTATCTAATATGTTGGTTATTGTGGATCGGTTTTAGTTTGATATTAATTTTCTAACTTTTAAATGATGATTTGGCTTTTGTTTTTTGTATATATATTTCGCGATAATCAAATGTTACGGGTTATTCTTATTTCGTACCGTTGGCTTAGGTAACCGCTGGTGTTTCCTTCTCCCGAAGATGCACGAATGATATGTTTTATTTTAATAAGGTATTTTGTCGAATCTTGTGTATTTATTATGTAACGTAATAATCGTTTTATGTTTAATTTATATATTTGTTTCTCTGATGTTTTAGACCACACGGGATTGGCGTAGAAGAGTTGTTGCTCCGTCGTGTTTTACGGATCGCGTGGGCTTTTGTAAGCATGTATGTTTGTTCTCTTATTGTCTTATGTGTCATGACTTGTATATATAGACATCAGAATATCTTACCATTCTATAAGGTATGATTTTAATTGTTTTGTTTGTTTGTAAAGGTTTTGAGTTGGCTGAAGTATTCATTGCGACCGAATATTTTGAAAGAGGTATGTTGTGTGTAGTTTACGTATTTGTTAGATCCTATGTCCTATTATTATAGATGTCTTCGTGTTTTCTAAATTATTTGTTTGTTTTCTATTGTCTACTTATTTTTGGGGTTTTTTTTTTTTTTTTTTTTTTTTTGATGTAGAGGACTGAGATTGGAAGCAAAGCTAGGAGTTACAGCAGTATCTATTTGTTGTTTAGTTATATTGCTAAGGGTAGTGATGTATCTGTTGATAGATACGGATCATATCCTTTGGTGTTTGGTATTGATCAAACCGTACCAAATTTTGGATCGGGGCCTATATTTGAAGACTCTGATGATGAGTAATTATTTTATTTGAATTTGTTGCTATTTATTTGGCTTCTATATATTTTATTTAGTTAATGATTAATATTCTGTTTTAAAAATTTATGTCGATCTAACTCATTATATCATATTAGCGATGGTTCTAATTATTCTTATTGGCGTTATCTATCTTAATATGGTGTGAGTTTGTTTTGTGTATAATCTAGAGATTCACATAGTTATTAATATTATTTTGTTGCTGTTCTTATGTTTTAAATAGTTATTAGGAAAAAGATATTTTTTAAATTTAAAAATTTGTGGCTATGACTGCTTATTTCAATTTCCACCGTGTATGTGCACTGTAAACAATTGTTTCATTTATTTCGAGATTTTCTATCTCTCTCTGATTCCTAAAAGAAAACTGAAGGGTCTTGGGCGGTGGTTTCGTTCAAAGATGTCCGAGCAAATCTACCTTTCTAATCTTTCTCGAGGTAGGACGCTTAAGTACGTTCGGGTGAAGATTCTGAGTCTTTGGAGGGTTCGCATCTATGGATTTAGGTGTAAAACAGAAATGCTTCTTGCCGACGAGCAGGTGCGTGTGTCTTTGTCGTTTTTTCTTTTGATCGGTTAGTTTGTTGATTTTGGGTGGATCTGCTAGATTATTTTTATAGTTTTGCTTATTTTATTATAAATCTTTAAGGATTATTTGTCTTTGGTTTGTGATTCGTTGTTTAGTTGTGTTAAGAAATATTTGATTTTTTGTTGTTTTGCATGTACCTAGGGGACAAAAATTGAGGGTACAATCGGTTGTGGTCCTTTCCATAACGTTGATATGAGGGAGTTAAGGGAAGATGCGTGGTATACTATTTCTGACTTTGTTGTTTCTGTTCCGATCCGGAGGACCCCGAACACACTTCACCCTTTCCATATCAAGTTCCACAGTGATACAAAGATGACATTGATTTATGATCTCTACTCGCCCAATTTTTTTGAGTTTGCAAAATATTCTGTCATTAAGAGGAGGCTTTTGGAGGCAAATCGTCCCTTTGGTGTGTCACATTCTTTTTATTAGCTAATCTCATTTTTGGTTTCTATTATTGTTTGAAGTATGTTTAGTTTTTTATTTGTTAGTTGTTCTGTGTTGTTAGAAACCTCTTATGTCTCTATTGGTATGATTTGTAGTGATATGTGGTCTTTTTGTGAGTTTGCTAGATTTATGTGGAGTTGTGGTCTATGTGTCTGAAATTAAAAGGATGACTTATGTTCCCGGAGAGTATGATGCAAGTACTGCATGCAATTATCTATATTTCCGTCTCATGGATCAGAAGTAAGTCTATGAATTTGATTTTGTTTTGGTGCTATATTTAGTCCATGGTTATTCTTGGTTTTTTTTGTGATTATGTAGAGTTTATTTAAAGACTGTCACTGATCTTAAGTGTTTTTGAAACGGTGATTAATAAAACAGAGGTAGGGAGCTGCCATGTTTTGCGCTTGGTCATTATGCTGCTGATTTTATGAATATGTGGACAAGCCGAGGCTACCAGGCTTCATTCCGTTATCAACCTGTTTTCTGTGTGTTGCGTTTCTGGAAAGTCGATGAGTTCATGGGTATGCATTTGGTGTATTGATGTCGAATCTATTATAGATAATATATATAAAGGGCTTATTCAAATTGTGTTGATGTGGCTATAGGTGAACCTTCTATCTCCACCAGAATTGGTTGTTCTAAGATATATCTTGAGCCCACATTACCGGAGATCAAGGACTTGAGGATGATGTAAATGATTATTGTGATTTTTTAGTGTTTATATATGTAGTTTGATTTTGTTATGGATTCAAATTTATTATTTTGTTTAATGTATTAAATTTAATTCTCAGGTCTGTTTTCATAGCTAGGGTAACATGGGCTATTGAAGAAGGTGAGGATTGTGATGACGCCGGTGAAGTTGTTGATCAGAATTCTTAATGTTCTTGGTGTAAATCAAGAATTGTATCCCTATTTCCGTAGTGTGCATAAACATGGATACCCTCTTCTGTTGGTTTAATATCTTTTTGTAAAAATCTCTTCTTCTTGTGTTATGTTATTATGTCATGTTGAGATATTTATTTGGGTTTTGTAACAATTATCTTTTGTGTTCGAGTTTTGAATATGTCTTTATCTTTAGATTCGTTGAAGTTATCTAAACTACTTTATAGATTTTCTAATTATTTTATATTGTAGATTAGCTTGTGGTAGAGATTATGTCAGATTTTTGATGTATGATAGTTGCTGTTTCCAATCATCAAATCTTCTGAACGGATAAAAACCTTTTTATTTAATTATTGATTATTCAGTAATCGATGTTACGTTAGATTGATTTCTATATTAGTTGTAATATACTTCCAATTCCACTTATTAATTCACGCTGCTACTTCTAAAAAAAAAAACAGAGAAAAAAAAAACTCTTCGATTTCTTGCTTCGTCTTTTCGGATTATCGATATTTCTTATTGAAGTATCTATAACCAGTTATCAATTTTAGTTGTTTCCTTTACCATGGCTTACTTCCATGATGTTTCGATTTTGCGCCCTTGTATTACGGGTTGGCACATAAGAGTGAAGGTTCTGCGCATGATTACTGTTTGCATAAATCCTCGGAATGCTCTCCGTTTGGTTCTGGTGGATGATAAGGTACTTTGGTTTTGTTCTGTATAGATTTGATTTTAAAATGCTAATTCGTGTTAGTTACTAAACAGACTATGTCGTGTGTCTAGGGTTTTAAGATCGATTGTTGGATTAATAGTGAATATGCGAAACATTATGCTGAGTTTTTGAAGTAAGATCGATGGTTTTCTTTTACGGAGTTTCGTGTTCTTGAGAACTCTGATAGGGTCAGGCTTACCAATCATCATTTCAGAATGTCTGTCTTTGGAACGACTGTCGTTCTTCCCGCCGATCCACCGTCGACTGAACCCCGT